CTGCTGAACACAGCACGGAGGATCTGAAGCGAGAACGACTTCAAAACAGAAACGCCTCTTTTGTTGCCTGCTGATGTGCATCCCATCCTTGAGTTAACCAGCTATTTTTAGAACAAAAGGCATTCCCCTTGCCCTAAATCAGAACTGGGACATAATGATAAAAATCCAGGATTAATGTAATCACTGACTTACTCTTGAAAGCAACATTTAGTTTGATTCATATGAAAAGAACCTTACTTGAACTGAAGTTTAAATTCTTGAGCCTGACTCCAAAATTTATGTGGACAGCAGCTACCTTAGATCATTAATGAAAATTAAAGCCAAACTTTAGACAAATGGATCTTGGGGGAAAGGGTGCTATTTTCTGCTTCTTAGTGTAAAATATTTTCCATTTGCATCCCTCCCAAGTACAGAAATGTGACTTTTAAAAATATTTTAAATAATACTTAGTACCTTCAATATGTATCAAAATGCTTAACTTTCTACAATGTAAGGCCTTCAACAAACACTTCCAGTAGACTGTTAGCAAAGACAGCACTGACTATTTCCAGTGGGCAAAGAAAATAATTTGCAAAGAATACTAGGAATGAAAATAACTAATTGCTTCTCTTTTTCAAGAGGCAGGGGTTCCCGGAAGTGTTTTTTATGCACTGCTAAAAAGTGAATAGATTATTCAAACAATTAATAGTTTTCCCCAAGGATTACACATTCAGAAGGCTGCAAATATAAATGGTATTCCCTTAAACAACTCTTCATGTTTTCATTACCAGATGAGACTGTTACTGGTTTTGCCATTTCATCACCCATTTAAAAGATCTGTTTTTCTTTTATTAGGGTAACAAAGGTAAAACCTTGGAACGATTCTGTGATAAAAGCTAAACTGTTCCTTCCTCTGTTAAAATATTTTTGACCAAGCCCTTGCACTGAAATCTCTAACACAGATGTACAATCAGTTCTCTCCAGCTCACTTGATGCAAGCAAGGTAAGTTTTCTTATATTTTGTAACTTCAGGGCAGAACACAAGTCAGTCATCATCACATAGATGATATCCTAAAGGCTCTTTCATACCCAGGCAACGTATTATTTTATACTGATTCTTGGGCGCTCAATCATTTTACATCCTTAGTAGTTCACTACCCCTGATGCACAAGTCTCTCACACTCCCCATACAGGATAAAGGACATGATACACAGGTCTGCCCAGGAAGAGGCATGAGGAGGGCAGCACTTGGCAGCTGACCTGTGGTAATTTAAGTCTGTTTATGGTCAACTCCAGCAGCTCAAATAAATGGCACAGCATGAGCCCATGCAATTACACCATGATCCTCAAACAGCCTATAGTTTATTTACCCATGCAAAATGGAGTCAACACCATTCCCTCTATCCTGCAATTTGGAAGTGTTGACCACACACCCTGGGCTAGCTGACCAAAGTATTTCACACTGCTCACCCTCCTTCCACC